TGACATTTTAATTTTTTTTTTTTTCAACGTTTTTATTTATTTTTGGGACAGAGAGAGACAGAGCATGAACGGGCGAGGGGCAGAGAGAGAGGGAGACACAGAATCGGAAACAGGCTCCAGGCTCTGAGCCATCAGCCTAGAGCCCGACGCGGGGCTCGAACTCACGGACCGCGAGATCGTGACCTGGCTGAAGTCGGACGCCCAACCGACTGCGCCACCCAGGCGCCCTGTCACTGACATTTTAAAGTGAAGCACAGAGGCTCTGGAGTCTGCTGGTCTGGGACCAAATCCTGACTTTTGCACTTACAAGCCCATGACCTTGGGCAGACTTCTTAGCTTTTCAATCTCAGTCTCCTCATTTATAAAACGGTAATAATAAAAGTATTCACCTCAAAGGATTGTAGTATTGTCTAAATGAAATAAAGCATGTGAGGGGCCTAGCAAAGCTTGGCAAACACTCAAAATAAATAGTCATTGTTATCATGTTATGTTATCAAAAACTTGTGGCTGACACTCAGCAGTGCTTCCCATGTAAGAAAGACTGCAACTGCGCACATCAACCTCGGACGTGGGCTCAGCTCCCGGGCACCAAGGCTCATCCCCACGCTCGGAACAAACTCGCTCTTACATCCTTGAACACACGTTGCTCCCGCTCCTCTTCCTCCGGCTGTGCGAGGGAGGACACGTTGTCGATAGTATACTTCCACAGCTCCTGCTTCTCCCCCTCGGTCTCAATTCTGTCAGGTCAAACCACAAAAAGACCAACTCTCACCAACGATGAAAAAGGCCAAATGATGAGCAGGAGAGAGAAACAAAGTGGAAGAGCAGAAAGGGCATCACAGCGGACACAGAGTATAGGTCCGGGGCCCCTTTCTGCCTCACAGTCACGGGGAAGCCCTAAAGCACAACTTCCCTGGCACCCGGTTCTCTCACCCGAAAAAACAGACAGGTAGGTTTAGGTCATTTCTAATTTATTGTCCTGTTATTGTAAGACATGGAGGCAGGAATAGCCAGCCCAGAGGAGGAGATGTGGCTGAGTTCCCCTCGCCCTGTTCAGGCCGGTCCCTTCATGTAGCGGCACCGAGGATTATTTTCACTTAACTACACCACCGAAGTTATCCCTTTCAAACTGGTATCGCTGCACACTTTCTGAGAACAGGGTCCCCACGATCCTACGAGTCAATCAGAAAACAGAATACGAACCATTGCCTGGGAATAAGGAAATCAGAGAAGATGAAGGACTTCTCAGAATCTCAACTAGGGGCCAGAAGTGAAGCCAAGGGAAGGAATGCCAGTCTCCACTCTCCCTTTCTTCTTTCCCTCACCTGTAGGGTCCTTTGAGGCCAGTGAAGTCAGGTTTTACTGTGATCACACCATTGCTGTCCACCTTCAGAGTACAGAGGACATGTTCATACTTCTTATAGCCAAGCCTAGATACCAGAAAATCAACACCCAGGTTCAGGACCACTGGTCCCACCTCGAGAGAGAGGAAGACATAGTCAGCCCACGTCAGGCGAGAGGACAGAGGCTATAGCGAGAACCATCATAGTACCTTCTTCTGAGTACAACTAAGAAGTAAAAGAGGAAGAAGTCCCTCCCTCCCACATACCCCAGGATGACTGTAACGGGTAGGTGATGGTTAGCGAGGGAAGAGGAGGAGAATCTGAGCTGGGGGGTGAGAGGCTTCACTCACTTTCCATAGGGCCCCAGGTCTGCCATGATGTACATTGTCTGAAGAGGGGTGTTGATGACATGGTTGTTCCTGACAAATTCTTCTGATGGTTCCCAGGTGACAATTCGCGACTTGAGGATGCCGCCCTCCCTGGGAGACACCACAGGAAGGGTCACTTCCCCAGCACCTCCTAAGGAGCCTAAAGGAGGAATCTAGGGGAGCACACCCAGGGAGGGCCTACTGCAGAATGGGAAGCTCGAGTGGGTGAACGTATCCGGATATTGGCCTGGAAGGACTACAAAGGCCCCCCCCCCACCCCTTCCCCCATACAGATTTGCACTCACATCCCTCGCCTGTCCTGCCGTCGCCGCCTGACATTTGCCATTCGCTCAACCAAGAACGATGGCACCTCCCGGGCTGCGGTGGTCATTTTCTGACAGTGCTAGGAGAAGAGAGCAGCCCTGTGTGATCCATCTGGTCAGGGCCACATGGGATCAGGTACCGAAGGCAAGCCTTCCTTCTGAAACCTCATCTGGGACCCGAATCTAACAGTCACACCTCACAACTGTATGTGTCAGTGGAGGAGAGCAGTAGCACAAACATGGCACAGAAGATTCCTACCATGCCTTGGTTTGCTCCAAGATTTTAGCAGCATATCATCCTTCAGAGATGAGTTTCTTTATGATAATATTAAAAGGAGTCTGCAATCTCTGAGTACACACCAACAAAAAGTTGGGCAAGTGTGCCTGGTAGCTGTTGACATTACCAGGTACTTGGAAGATGCCAAATGGGATACAAAGTATCGCGTGAAAAGTCCTTTGCATGGGTAATTCAGCACTAAGTGTAATGTCATTTACTTTTCTAAAATAGAAAACCCAAATTTTATATGCTACCAACACAGAGCCTTCCTAACATAAGCACCAATCTTTCAAAAACATTCATTTAATACCTGCTCCTTGCAGAGCTACAAGGTCATAGACAAAAATCAGAAAATACAGGCTCCACTCTCAAGGAGCTTAACATTTCCCGGGAAGAAAGAACATGTCCTACAGGGACGAACACGTAAAGCAAGTCCACAAGGGTACGTGAGCGCAGGCAAAGGGCACTAAGCTGCTCCCGACGGCTGTACTGAGTCCCTCTTCAAACCCACAGACTCAGAGTTGTGGCTGCATCCCCTGATGAGTTTTATCTAGATGGTTCAGGACTCCACCCACCTGTGTCCTCTCATGATGAACGGAGGAAGTCCGGCCCAGGGGCTGCTTCCCTCGGGTCCGTAGTCTGCAAGCCTATCATTAGACACACTACCAGCTTCCCCAGGCCCTCTAGCAGGTGGAGAAGAGCAGCCACACCACCCGAAAACTGTGCCCACTGTCCGGCCTGGCTGCCAGCAGCACGAGGCAGTTCCTGCCATAGGCTGTCTGTTGCCCCTTAACAGGCTTCCGGCTTAACATACAGAACCCGGTGAGACCAGAAGCTAGGGGAGGAAAAGGAGAAGGAAGCCATGGGACCCCAGAAAAAAACAATACCTCCTCCACATTGGTGTATCTATCAGAGTCAGTGTAGGTAAAAATCCGTCGGTTCTTCCTGCCACCCAAAGCCTCCAGCTTCAGGATCTCTTGACGGTACTGATGATCCAAAGGGCTCTGACAGGCCGCTTCATTTCGGTACAGATCTACTTCAAACTGAGGTAACAAGAACACAGAGATGTACTGGGAATATGTGAAACTTTTGTCCCTGTAACTGTTTAGTCAAATCAGTTCTGTAGAGTTAATGCTACTTGGGGCACATGGGTGGCTCAGTTGGTTAAGCGACCGACTTGAGCTCAGGTCATGATCTCGCGGATCGTGGGTTCAAGCCCTGTATCAGGCTCTGTGCTGACAGCTCAGAACCTGGAGCCTGCTTCAGATTTTGTGTCTCCCGCTCTCTCTGCCCCTCCCCCACTCACACTCTGTCTCTCTCTCTCCCTCAAAAACCAAATAAACATTAAAAAGAAATTTAATTATAGAGTTAATGCTATTTGACATGTTTTCATAGCCAATTTCGATTTATCTGAATTAATGCAGGGCAGGGGATCCAAGAATGTTAGATCTAAAAGGAACCAGAGGGATGGTCTAATCCAACTTTGCTGTTACAGATGGCAGATTTCACCCAGAGGTGAAAAGTGCCTTACCCAGGATCATAAAACAGGGTAGCGTTGGTCACTATGTTATACTGCCCTTTAAACACATCAGGGGAATGTATAAACTGCTATAACTTTCTGGAAATTAGACAATATGTATCAAGAATCTTTCCCTCCTACCAGCCAGGTGGAGGCAGACCAGGTAGAGGTAGGTAAGTGACACTGGCTCACCTGGCTAAAGAGCTTCTCCTGCCACCCAATCACGACCTCTTCCTCTTCCTCTTCCTCTGAGCGGTGTCCACCTCCAAAGACCACAGAGTGAGTCAAACGTCTGAGTCAAATCAGCACCACTTCTTGCTCTGTGATTGGTTATTACTGAAGTCCCTGCTCTAATATTTGCCACAAAACCAGCTGGAGTTTGGGGATTTATTAAGCACTCACTCTAAACAAAGGTTAGAGAGGCTGTGGATATATGTAGAAGCCAGGATTAGGACCCAAGAAGTTTTAATTACTACTTTAATTTGAATAAAAGGAAATCGTGGCTCCCAGGAATTACTTAATCTAATTCAGTGTCAGGAGTCAAATTTAGATATGGGCTGAATACCTCTTCCTCAATCCCAACTGTCTACATTTGCTAGATAGGAACCCTGGTGTTTTTACCTTTACTATTCCTGAAACCATATATCTAGAACCACAAGCCCTATAACCTTTAAGAGACCAAGTGCCAGAAGAGAGGAGGAAAGGTGAGTATTTAAAGAACCAAATTGAATACACTCTTAGCTGAGTATGCCTTTTTCAGAGACACATGCTTCACAACCCACCAGCCCACTCTTGCCCAAGAATATATCTGAACAGAAACAACAAAAGCAGAGAGATTAGTGATTTAACACAAACACACTGTCCTCTCTTCCTCACTCTTCTGGCTTCCAAGATAAGGTAAACTGCAAGACACCAGTTGATGTTAATATGTTCCCTTTTCAAGCAGATGCCAATTAAGAATTATTTTAAATAGTGTGTATGTGTGTGTGGTATAGATATATGTAAAACTTAAAGTTATTTTTAGGGGCGCCTGGGTGGCTCAATCAGTTGAGCATCCGACTTCGGCTCAGGTCATGATGTCACAGCTAGGGTGTTTGAGCCCTGCATCAGATTCTGTGCTGACAGCTTGGAGCCTGGAGCCTGCTTCAGATTCTGTGTCTCCCTCTCTCTCTGCCCCTAACCCACTCGCATTCTGTCTCAAAAATAAATAAACATTAAAAAAAAATTTTAAGTTGTTTTTAAAAGCGTGTGTATATATAATATACACATATATTAGGAATTTGGGGCATATTTTCTCTTAGAAAAAAATGCCACAAGCAGTATTTAGGTTTCTAGGCAGATTCATAACATATCTAAGGTATAATTTTTGTTATTTTACTACATTTGACCACAATTCGGATCAACTCCTGATGGCAAGAATCAGGTCTTACTCAATTTCCATACACAACATAATGGAGCAATTAAAACTGCTTGGGATCAAATCCTTGCTTCAACATTTACCGACCGTGTGACCGTGGGCAAGGAACTCAACCTCTCTATGCCTTTTCTTAGACTACAGAACCGGGTCTACTAGGTCTTAAAAGGTTACTACCGCCCCAGGCCCTTCCCCAGATCCCCAAAGGGTCGCATCACCACCAAACACCCACTGGCAGTTGGGTGAGGCCTAAAAGTGGCCAAGTCTATGAGGTCCTTCCCAGGCTGGGCAGCAGGCTGGTAACGGAGGAAGTTGCTTGATGTGATTCTTTGCAGGTGGACTCTGTCAGGAAAAGAAAAGCCCGAAATACTGATTACAAGACATACAACCTGGAGATGAACAAAGAGCAAAGATGGGGGGGGGGGGGGGGG